AAATTTGGTCATAATATTTTGCACACAATTTGGTTTTTGTTTATTATTAATTTTCCACTGAATTATTTTACACTTAGCTGAAAGTATAATAATGGAACACTTTTTGCTTAGATTAATTAATATTCGAAAATATAATTTAATACTTTTCGCTCTATCTCTTAATAATTTTGGAATTACGTGAAAAGCAGACTTAGTTAACGTAATATTTATCTTTATTGCATCCATTTGATTCATAGCAAATAAGATAAAACAATTTAGGCTCACAATTATTTTTGCTTATTTTAATTAAAAAACATAATTACTTTTCTTTTTATGCTGTCCTCTTAATTCAGGAAAAGTTAGGAGATCGATATATTGTAGCACAATATTGTTTTTTATGTTCTGTATTAATATCCTTTTAATAAATGGGAGGTTGAAAGGTCAACCTCGAGATCATAGTGTCATTACATGGTAATGCGCCACGCAGTTGCTTCATATATTTATCATAAAAAATTTCATTTGCTGATCGAGACTTTCCAGCTTCACCAAGCATTTTGTGCGCTTTAATTCTAGATAATTTCGAATGCGGAATTATTATTTTCTTGTTGTAATCTGAAAAATATGCTTTTATTCAAACTTTGTCTATTTAAATATAGTAGAATATAAAATTAATCCTTCAGATATAAAACTGATTCTTTATGCTCATTTGTGCGTATATATTACTCGTTGCCATTTCTATTCGATTCAAATTTTATGGCACACATTTTTAAGCCAATAAAAGTAATTTGAATATTCAAATTCCTATAAAAAATTTGGAAATTATTTCAAACTTTCAGAATCCATAAAATATCAAGCAAAGTAATATATAAGACAAATACTTTATAAGTTTTTTATCTTAATTTTTTTACTTTGTTAAAATGTTTTTTCATTTTGCTAAAATACTGTTAAAATATTCAATAATCGCAAAGTTTTGCATTGAAGTTACGCTATAAATTAAAAATAAATAACTAGAATTCGAAGCAAATCATTTTTTTTCAATATTAAAAAAGAATATTTGCTTCATCCTAACGAATAAATAGCAATAATAAAATGAAATACCCTAAGGATCTATTTTTTAACTTGAAAATATTATTCTTTCTAGACTAATCTGCTGAGCAAAGTTTTATAGATTTTAAGATAATTAAACCTTTTGCTAGGTTTACTTTAGCTACTTTAGGAGCGCAAATTATGTTTAGAGTAAAATAAAATGTGAATCTATTTTTTTAAGCATAGCCTAAAAGTATTACATTTTGAGGTTGGAATCAAAAATATGCTGCGAAAAATTTGCATATAATACTTTTTCTACCACTGCAATTACACATTTACTTTTTGTAATTTTTTTATTCACTCAATTCATTTTGAATATTTAAAAAAGTTGTGCTTTAATCTAAAAAAAATTTGTTTTGTAAATTTTATGTTTATTTTGTACTGTAAAGAATCTAAAGATTCATAGAAATAGATTGATAAGCAGCAAAATGTTAATTGTATAAACTCTGAAAAAATATTTACAAATTTATAATAATGAAAGTTTTGAGCAAAACAAAAAATGTTGATTTAAATAAGAGCTTAATTTGCAAAAGTGTATGCTAGGGATTTATTTTATTGTATAAACTCTGAAAAAATATTTGCAAATTTATAATAATGAAAGTTTTGAGCAAAAAGAAAAGTGTTGATTTAAATAAGAGCTTAATTTACAAAAGTGTATGCTAGGGATTTATTTTAAATATTCAAAAATTTTATGTCTATGTTAGTGCTGCATCATCCAATTTCTACACTATCTGAAAATATTCAATAGATTTAAGTCGTAGAAGAAAAGTCTTATCTCAATTAAAGAAGTTTTACTTTAGCCTAAAATTATCTTAACGATTTTTGCTTTTTTTATTTTGAATAGAACTAAAATTATTTGTGGTAAATGCGAGTAACATTTCGAGCTGTAAAAGCTGTAAAAGTAAAAAAGTAAAAATTTTGTGGGAATTGCTATGTTTGCTTTGAAATAAATACTTTAGTTGCTCAGTAAAAAAAGATTATTCTTTCAAAAATCTTAAATTTAGATGAAAATAAAATAATTCAGACCTATATTCGGTTTTTGAACTATATACTGATCAGGACTTAGAACTGAAGGCTGAGATTGATGCTTGTGGAAGATCTCGAGATCAGGCTTGGCTGAA